TTTGCGTCCATGACACCTTTCGGGTTCCATGCTCTGTTTTAATTAAGTGCTGTTTTTATTTTTCCCTCTGAAAACCAAGGCTGGCGAAGTGTCTAAACACTTGTCTAAAGTGTGGAAGAAGCTTTGTACCCTGATAAAAACTGCAGGAAACCTGGGGCTGGGGTGGGAGGTGTCAAAGACAAGCCTGCACCCCCTCACTTTGCCAGACCAATAGACGCCCAATTGCAGTTTAGAGGTGACGTTCTATTCAGAGGGAAAGGGGGTGATTGATTCTATTCAGAGGGAAAGGGGGTGATTGAATACGTTCTCTCTCAACAACATTACCCGTGAATTGCAAACAGGCTTGTGAGGGATTAAATAATGATGGATTAAATACTTCCCCCTAGATTATTTTTGCTTCTCCCAGGCAGGATCAGTCCCAGTTAGGACTCGAAGCAGGTAACTGCAGCAGAGGCAGATGCTGGCCCAATTATATTCCTTCTCAAATCACTGAATATTTTCCCTAAGGGGAATGAAAACTCAAATAGATTTGATCCATCAGACCAGTCAGATCGGCTAGGACCTCAGAGGGCAAGGACATCTCCTTCAATGTCACCACCACAAAACGTGAACCATTTTCAGAGATTCCCTTTTCTTATCAGCCATCTTCGGCTTGCACGGCCTCTTTGTCAGAGCATACTGTCCCAAAATTTGTTTTAGAAGCACAGTTTCCAGAAGACAAAAACATTAAAGACCTTGGCAGGGAAATGAACTTATCTTGTAAATTGTAACACCCACTATTTCATAGTTCATTGTACAGTATCACGTCACCAATGAATGCGCAGAGATTATATTAGACATTAACATAGCATTTGGATCAGGAAAATGTCCCAGTGATATGCAAACATTGTTCCTCATTCTCACTCTCTCTCTAAAACTACTTGCTAAAATATCTATTGGTTGACAGATGGACCTTAAATTATTTCAGGTTGTTCAACGTGACTGGTTTTGTCAAGTTCGTTTTCGTCTTTCAAATTAATCTTTTGAAACTGTAAAGTTTCAAAAAGCTTTTCTCCTTCTTGGTAGCAGTCAGTAGAAAAGCTCAAAAAATGTCCTCCTTCTAAGTTAAAAAACAATGACCTTGTTTGAATCTTCATTGAATCGGGTTACTACTGACACTTAGGCAGTAATTCCAGTTTTCTCACTGCTGGTAAACAGATGAACCTAACTGTCATCCAGAAAGAAGCTTATTATACTAATCCGGCTTGACACCCCAGGCACTTGAGACAACGCTGAATTAATTCAAACCAAATACCTGAGAGATGGAACCCAAACTTGGAAATTAGACCTCGGAGGAGGGGAACGTTCTTTATTTGTCACTAAACTGCAATAATCCATCCCTGCCTTCCACAGTTGTAGCTTCTTGACCTTCGTCCTCCGTGTCTTTACCTCTTTCCTTCCTGATAAGCCACCATTTCCCACACTGTAGTTTGTATAAACCATGGTGTGTTGATCCGTCTTAAAATTCTTCGTCAACAATTCACAGTAACCAGAGTGCTAGCACACAGGACAATTCAGACCCAGCAAGCACACTGTACCTTCCTAAGAAAACTCCATCATTAAAGAGAAGGATTCACCCCCGTCACATTTAAATTCCGAAAGCTCTCCTCGGGCACGCTGACCTTGTTAGTACAGAGGAGAAAGAACACACCAGCTGCTACCAAGTGGATTCTGACTCAGGACGACCCCGTGGGGGTCAGAGAGGAACTGTGCTCCACAGAGTTTTCAATGACTGATTTTTTTGGAAGTAGATCACCAGGTCTTTCTTGCAAGGCACCTTTGGGTGGACTGGAACCTCCAATCTTCTGGTTAGCTGCTGAGTGTGTTAACCATTTGCACCACCCAGCGACTCCTTAGTACAGAATAAAACAACCAAACTAAACCCATTGCCATTGAGTTGATTCTGACTCATTGCAACCCTATAGGACAGAGTAGAAGTGCCCCATTGGGTTTCCAAGGAGCAGCTGGTGGATTCGAACTGCTGACCTTTTGATTAGCAGCCAAGTTCTTAACCACTGCACCACCAGGGCTCCAGTATAGTTCGTCTGAAATTCTTTCCAAAAGACGGATGTAGCAATCTTTA